TTGGGGCTTTTTAGCCCAATAACATTTTGTATTGGAATTCTTATATATATACCATATATATTTGATATTATATAATATGTGAGTAGGAATTTTCTTTACAAAAACTATCTTTGTTGCCTTCATAAACATTTTAAAACAAAGTTGGGATTGGGGCATGTGGAATGCTGGGGCTGGATGAAGAAACAATTAAATTTGCCGACTAAACATGAATAGTGCCAAATGTTGAACAATTAAATTGCGTATAGCAGCAAGAAACGGAGGATTACGTAATTAAAATGTTTTTTTTTAAAATTGCGTAACAATATGTCTCATATATCATTAGTAAACGCAATGTTGTATATTAAATATTACTCCGTAGCAATTCTAAAGTTGACTTAGGAAAAGGGTTGACTATAACTAACGGTCCAACTTTTTCAAAAGGCACAAATAAAAAAGAAGAATAAATTTTAAGTTTAGCAAACATAAAAATCATAGTAGTGCTCTATTTCCCTCACTATTCCTACTAGTCTGTGTAATATGATGCTGTTAACAACAAAACAAAGTCTTATAAGTTAAACTTTCCAATGCAATACAACAGAAATTGCTTCTAGGATGTGAAGCAACACACATAGTTACTCCCTCTATTCATCTTTACTTATCCAATATATTAAAAATAATTGTCCAGCTTTACTTTTCTAATTTGAAAAACGAAGAGATAAAATACCACTTTGTGTCTATTTTAACCCTTGTTACTAAATACTATTCATTTGCCAACATTTAGATGACCTATAATTAATAAAGGTCGTATAGTGAAATTACCCTTTTATTCATTGTCTCTTAAGGTATTTTCCAAATTAAACATGAACAAGTAAAGATAAATGGAGGTCTCTTTGAACCAAAATAGTCAGATCTCTTCTCTTTTCCTACTATAATAAATCTAATGACACAAGTCATTTTCGATTACAAGTATATCTCAACTCTTTCTCTAATCGCTTGATTGCAGGTAACAATTTTCTGGCACCGGATATCTACAAGAAACCAAAATATATCTAAAGTATTGAGTAAATCAACATCACAGGTAGAAAAGATGCACAATGTTCTCATTGCTTCATCTATATCCATGCTACAATAGATTCAAAACTAAAACCAAATGTTAATCACAAAACTTTGCTCAGATACTGAAAGTTCACACTTGTACAGTAGTTACATTTCTTAAGCTGAAAGGTATCATAGTCAAATATCAATTCTCCAGGTAGCGTCCGATTGCTGCTAGCTGATTTTCTCAGCAAGAATATAAGAATAAAAAAGCATAGCACATGCACAAGATGTTACATCAGCACATTTATTTATATATAAATCCATTCTTTTCTTTCTAATATATGTTATCTCATAATGTGATATACTGAATACGACTAAAAGAATAATATTTGTATGTATTAGTTGTAGTTAAATTAAGTTAAAAAGCACTCAATCTCACCTTTATATAAGAATCTTATATAAAGGTGAGATTGAGTGCTTTTTAACTTAATTTAACTACAACTAATACATACAAATATTATTCTTTTAGTCGTATTCAGTATATCACATTATGAGATAACATATATTAGAAAGAAAAGAATGGATTTATATATAAATAAATGTGCTGATGTAACATCTTGTGCATGTGCTATGCTTTTTTATTCTTATATTCTTGCTGAGAAAATCAGCTAGCAGCAATCGGACGCTACCTGGAGAATTGATATTTGACTATGATACCTTTCAGCTTAAGAAGCAAATCCAGTACTATGAGACAAAAGCAACTCACTTGTCCATGTTTTATGTCATTTTCTTGCTCATCATTTTCCTGTCAAATTCAAAACCCTCACCCGTCCAATGTAAAAACTGGTGGAAGCCTTTCTCCCTTTCCATTTTGATTGCACTTACATTTGGTGCCAACTTCATATCAACCGTACTTAAAAGCATCCACATAAAGAATGCTCTAGATATGAACTGGATCGACCAAGGGCTGAGCATTCAAAAGATGGCTAACCTAGAGCGAGCAGCAAAAATCGAAGCAGAATTCATGGACCATCAAAGGAGCTGCAACCCCGTTGTCAAAGTTGAACCACACTCCGCGAGTTCAGATGCAGACACTTCAGACCAGAAAGAGAACTATGTTCAATTGCACCATGTTAAAAGTCGTGTTGATTATTCATATACTGATACAGATGCAGAAAGTTCAGTCAGTACGATTGAGGATTTGCCTAGAACACACTCATCCCTGCAGCAACAAAACGTGGATAGCATTACTGTCTTTCAACAGTATGCAAAAGCTGGAACAACTGTTTCCTTCTTGCTAGCCTACACAGTTCTGGTATTGTATGGATGCCGCTCTTCTGTTTGTGATGGTAACGCATAGTTGGACACACAAGTGAACTGGTAAAGCTCCCGTTAATTCCTGAATTATTAACAAATACTCGAAATAATTAGAGCCACAAGGATTATCCTAACCACCATACACAAGGATTTATAAAAATTGATAAATCGAAAAACCCGAATTATATTATTTTTGTATATCCCTTTTTAGTTATTATCTTTCATTATGATTTAGTTTATCTTTTATGTTTGGACATCTATAATTTGTATACTTTTAAGTATTACGTTGTACGTTTTACTTGTGATTTATATTAGATAGTAAATTTAAGAGATTTTATATATATATATATATAACTTTGATTCAAATTGCAAATATAACTTTGATTATTTTTCTAATTATTGACATAACCGAATAATCGAATCGAAAAGAATCAAACCAAACCAAAATTTATTTTGGTTCGAATTGAATTATACTTTTTCAAAATCAAAATCGAATAGTATAAAACCAAATCGAATGCACACGTGACACGTACCCCATGTTAAAGGGGTATATGTGGTCTAGCTATTTACTTAACGATGAAGGCGTTCTTAATAATTAGTTTAGCTTTGGGTTTGAGAGTGTCAAACCGCCCAGACCCACATGAATGTAAAAAATGAGTATAGAAAAATGAAATGTTTCTATTATTGATGTCATACTCTTTATTAATTAAATTGATTTGGTGGTTGAAGCAATTTTCCCAGTAATATGACACAAGTCATACATATTGTGTATGTTTGGGCGTATGTCCTATTAGTATTACCGTACATACAATTGTATATATCATTGTATATCGTCTTGTGTGTATGTCAGACGTATTTTAAGTATGTATTTATATATATGTATATAATTTAACAAATAATCTTTCTATAATCTATTATTAGGGGCATTAATTAATAGTGCTATGCTATTTAAGAAAATTTCCCTAAATACATCTAGCATCAGCATTGAGATCGTCATAAATCATCCATTCACATAATGAAAGGGAAGTTGGAAATTAAAAAGGCTATTTTCCACGTTTTGTTTAACGTATATAATCTTTTTTTAATTAAAAAGTGACAATCATGATTTACTAATATATAAATCCAATTTGAAGTATTTGAAAAATCAAAATGTCGGCATATTAATGCACGCGTATGAACTATATAATAGAAATACTAATATAAATGTCAAGGCAAAAAATAAGACTTTCTTGGCAATATTCACTTAATTTAAAAATGTGGTTGGATTCAGAAACAAGCAATGAAGTAAGGAAGAAAACTAATTTATTAATTTACAAGTAATTCAAGAGTTATCCTACATTGACTTGACGTGTCACCAGTTAAGCAAATATAATTATATTCTCATTTATTAAATTAAGGGACAATAGAAAAGTGATCTTATTTTATAGGCAGACTGGATTATGACCTTTTAAAATTTACTGAATTTTATTTAATGTATATTAAAATTTTGTATTTATTTAATCACCCGTTAACTAGGTAATTTGATAGCTACAACCCTACAATCATTTAAATGCTACAACTCAGGGATGTGTAACACATGCTTTATCATATTAAATTTTTTGTTCGCGTGACTTTTTTTAGAATAAAATATATATTTCTACTCTTCTAAGTTTGCAAATTGTTTAAATTATATTTTCAAAGGCTAATTCAATAGAAAAATTGTTAAAAGAAATTGGAACAACTATATTTTAACAATAATTTTTTATTAGACTAAAAATAATGTTAGTCTAATCTACTTCAGAAAAAGGCATCTAAAGAAGAAATAAATAAAATTTCAATCAAATATTTTTTGTATTTGATCCGAAAAAGAAACAACACATAAGTGAAATAAACAGTCTTCGCATGAAAAAAAATACACAAATATTTTTCCTTTTTGTAGAAAATATAAGTTTGAACTTCATTATTTTAGCTAAACCTCTCTTAATTTGGCTAAAATAAATAAAGTTTTACCTATTTTGTAAATTTGGATCCAAAAAAATGAAAAGAAATACTCATATAGTTTTGCAACAAATAATTATTAAATATGAAAAATGAATAAAAACACATGCAAAATAAAATATGCAATGCATATTTAAGAGAAAAATATGGAGAAATACGATTGAAATAAACAAATCATTATATTGATTATGTGATAATTAATAGTTGAATCCACTTATAAGCTAATTTTTCGAATTTTTTTTTCTCTCATACGCCTAAACGAGAGTATAGTTACATCACCATATAAGGAGGCCGAGATTTAGTAAATTAAAATTATGAAATACAGTTGGCAAAAATTGGGACTGAAGATGCAGAGTTGACTTGACTCTATATTTATAATTCATTGTAAATGAGGAATATTCCAATTTCCAATGGCATATCATGACTTTGAGTTAAAAATAATTTTAAAAAGTTAAAAATCAAAAGTAAGTTTTCATGTATTTTTTATTTTTAATTTAAAAATTACATTTAAGTTTGATTTTCTACTTTTTGACTTAAAAACTTATTTTTTAAACCAATTCAAACGGCTCTTTATGTTTAATTTGCAGTCTGCATTATTGCATGCCTTGTATTATCTGACCATAATTTCTTGCTTTAGCGAAAATGTAGTATAGTATTTCATTTCTTATAAAAGGGTAACAATTGTATACTAATTCCATCATTCTATTACATCTCTTCTGTGAGGGGAAAACATTTCGTTAATCTCCGCATCAATATTAACATCCAATTCATTACATTCAACTTAATATTCCAAATAAGTTTATCTCAAACCAATTAACCTCATTCGACTTATCCTCACATGAACCAACATACAAACCTTTATTATGTCTCTACAACTTCAGACAGACGACTACAACTTCACCACCCGATCATGATCCTACCGGCCCCTCCATGGAGTTGTTGCTAGGTTCTCCAATTTGCATATTCTTCTAAATTTCTCAAAAAAGTGTAATTAAGTTGAAGCCTCGATCCACTAAGAATACACAAAAAAGTCGTGAAAAAACTATATACAGTAAACTCATCTTTTTTTCTGAACCCGAGCTGCAGTTTTCTAGGCACGAGATCCTAGTAATTAAGATGAATCCGCTACAAGTTGTCGTTCAAATAGAAAATAGAGGGAAAATTCCTGTTTTCCTGAAGGAGAGTCTCCTTCATGCACTGCCAGGACGATTCGGCCTTGTGATCCGAATTGCCCCGTTAAGCACAAAGGTTATCGTGGCGCATACCTTCTTTGCCCGCAATAAGTCCTTCGGGCGGCCCTCTACCGTAGAGGTCCACTTAAATGGGAAATTGATTCAGCTGTTGACACCACAGACCTTCGTACATTACCCGAAGATCATCATTGATGGTGTTTCTGATAATGGAGAGGGATCAATCATCCGTGTGACTCGTCCTCAACGACAGCTAGAAATCTCTCGTCTGAGGTACTTAATTTCTTATGAAAAAACAATATATGAACTTTTTGAGTATATATATATATATATATCATAATCATCTTTCTGCTTTCAGTTTTGAAATGGTAAAGGGTCAAATACCAGGGCCGGCTCTACAGCTAAAACAAAAGGCAGTTTGTCTTAAGCCCCCAAAATTTAACGCCTCCATTCCGATGTGATTTGTTGCAGAAATCATTTATATATACACCATTTGTTATATTTTTGGTCAGGTATGATATTTTTTAGTTTTATAAATCTAGAATAGTATGTCTAAAGAATAATAATAAAATGGATTTGCTATAATAAATTCATAAAAAAATTAACATGTCATATAAAAGTTGAAATTAAAGTGTTGTAAAAAAGAGGAAAGAGAAACAGACTGAAAAATAGACCATTCTTTTTTAAATGGAGCTAGTAACATTTAAGACTTCATTCCAATGTGACTTTAGGCTATTGATGTATTTAAGTCACCCATGTCCAGTATTATTAGAAATAGTTTGTATATACACTCCTCGTTATATTTTATATATAAATATATTCCTCTTATTATACTTTGGTACAAATTTATCTTTAATTTAAATAGGACAAGTTCAAAAATAAATGATCCACCCATATTTTAAATGACAATTTTTTTTTAAACCCAACCGTTTGACCCATTCCCTCCGCGCGCTTTGATTTTTTTATTTAAAGTTTGATTATTTATTTAGTATATAAAAATGTAGTATCATTTTCATGTGAGAGGGGTTTATCACTTGATTTATTCACGTTATTTTGTATATACTCGATTTTGTTTATGATCAGGGCCTTTAACTTTCTGGCAAATGGCTATAAAGAAAGGAAAGAAGTCTGGGTTATGAAGGAGTAAGGACTCAGCTATATGCATGGAGACTGCAGGCTGCAGCTATCATACGAAATTTATGCTTTAGTTTGACTCGAATTCTACGTGTTGTTTATTAATTATTGTTATGGAGGATGTGTGTGTTTGATTCTGCGTGTTGCTTTTTAATTATTGTTATGGAGGACGTGTGTTGTTCTTTTTTCTTCGTTTGTTTTCCTCCTGTGTGCGTATTTTTATTTTAAAGATACGGGTGGTTTTTTTATGCTTTTGAATTTTTGATTATTGTAAGTTGTATTTTTATTTTTAAAGATGCTAGTAATTTTGTGTTTTTTTTTTTTTAATTTTGATTGTTATAACTAGTATTTTTTTTTAGTCATTATGACTTTGTTGCAAGAATGCTTATATTGTTTTAAGCAATCACTTACACGGTCTTCTAGAGGTGTTTGTTCTTTAAAGTATCATTTTGAAAAGAAAAAAAAAAAAGAGAACAACTTTTGGACAAAAGGATACAAGTTTTAGACCTACAAAATCAAAGTAAGTTTTCATTTCATGAAGAGTTGTGAAAACTATTCCCAACATGCTTTCCTCCTACGTACTGAAAGTGTTGTTTTTGTCCCAATGTCAACTCTTTATTCCACATCGATCACATATTCCTCATTCGTTAGTCACAATCCAATATTTTAGCTAATTGTTAACGATGCTTAATGAGGTACTACTATTCATTCTTTAGGCAAATCATCTCTTTCATTAATAAATGGGAGAAGTATTGAAAATACTCTTAAACTTGGCGTGAATTACTTATTAGTTTCATTCTCAAATTATTAACAGTCTTAAAAACACTCCTCTACTTTACTAATTCAACTTAAATACATGGTATATCAAATGGTCGGTCTCAAACTCTTGTAGGAGCGTGGTCTCATTAAAATCCGAGAGAAAGATTGAAAACACCCCTAAATTTAACGAGAATTTAGGGGTGAATTACTTTTTAACTGCTCACTATTAATACACACTTAAAGATGTATACTACATATGTATATCAGTGTACACATTCTGTATATCTATACTCTCTCCTCGTCAAACTTGGTACTGCAAAGCTCGATGTTAGAAAACCCAAGTTTGGACATTAGATATTCATAGTATACTCTGTTAAGACTCTTGGATAAGGCATCAATAGGTTGATCATGAGTTGAGACGTACTCAATCTTCATTAATCCTCGTTGAATTTTCTCCCTTATAAAATGGCAATTTATTTCTATGTGCTTAATTAGTTTTTTCATTATAAATTGGATTAGAAGCCAAAATATATTAACTGGTAGTTATATTTGAACTCCAAGATCTTTGATCAGGCCAATTAGCCAAGTCAATTTTGCTTTGGTTGTTGTAAGAAATGAACCAGAGTCTGCACACTATAGGCTATGTCTGGTCTCATCTGGTTATGGTCAGACATAGTAGCTTTCCCATAAGTTTTTGATATGCACCCCAATAAGTTACAATTTCATCATCATTGGGATCTGTTGTTTCTTTCATATAAATATTGATCATATTCATTAGTTGTTGTAACACTTCAAACCTCTTAGGTGTAAAAGTACAATATTAAGTGCGGGAAGTGTATTGGATGTGAATAAAGGTCATAAAGAGTCTCTAACATAAAATTAAGTTGAAAGCTTCTCTAGCAGTTAAATTTCGGTATAAGATCATACCAGGGTCAACTTCAATAGAGCGCGTGCGAACACAGACACAAAAAAACTCCCTTTTAGGGGTTGTTTGGTACAAACATCATAATGTAGAGATTAGTAATGCAGAGATTGGTAATGCATGGATTAGTAATTATTCATTTTTTTCTTTTAATTTTTGCTAAAAATAATATAAAAATCACCTGGAAAAAAAAGGAACAACTTCAAAATAAAAAACAAAAATTAAAAGGAAAAACTAAAATATATATTTTATAGTAAAAATTTAAAATAAATAGCAAATTATTGCCTTTTTATATTTTTTTTAAGCAAATTATTCATTCTGATTTTTTAGGTAAGATTTTATTAATACAAGTTTGAAAAATATCATTTTATATTTGCTACAAAAAATATAAAAAGGGCAATAATTTGCTATTTATCTTGCATGTGATTTTTATATTTTTTTTAGCAATCACAAAAATAAAAATAGGAACAACTTCAAAATAAAAATGTGATTTAGCAATTTAAAAATCACATGCAAAATAAATAGAAACAACTTCAAAATAAAAAACAAAAATTAAAAGAAAAAACTAACTAAAAAATCAAAAAATTAAAACATAAACCAAAAAAAAATAAAGATGCGCAGGGGCCTTGCGCCTTGTAATGTTGCGTAGCCTTGCACCTTATAAGGCACATCGAACTTACCGTCTAAATTAAATGTTGGTTCTCAATTCAATTTTATTGCTCTTTTGAAATTTTTGACTAATTTTCTTGCCCTTTTGACTCCGAACTCATACATTCTTGCTCAATCTAATTCATGATTAGCCCTTTTTATCTAGTTTTTTTTTTGTTCATCAACTCTTTTGCTATCAAGCCCAGTATAGGCCATATTCTTCATAAGGATGAACTATTCATCATCATTGTATCTCAGTGAGGTTTGGACAAAAATCCACCTCTTGTAAATGTGAAATCTACAGGTTGGTTAATTAAAAAAAAATTGTTGCTTTATCTGTTTCTACTTATACTATTACTATAAAGGTCTAAATTCAAATAAATTTATTTAATATTTATTAAAGTACAATCCCTTCTTTTCTTTTTAATTAGGCTGAATAATCATTTAAAACCTTCCGTAAATTTTTAAGATCATTACAATGAGAGTGTCTGTATGAATTAATTTGAATCAAAATGGAATTACTACCTCATGTCTTAATCCTATCTTTTTTTGGCCTATCTTCTTTGCCTACTTTAGAGAGCTCCCTACACAGCCTTGAAGATAGGCAAGACAACTTCTAATTTTCTTTTTAATAATATGGAGAAATTAAAAAGAACCACACACATCCTCCATAACATTAATTAAAAAAAAACATAGAAACGTCTTTCTTCGAATAAAATAAAGCATGATTTCATATGATAGCTGTAGCCTCAGTATTCCTTCATCTAACCAAGACCTTACTTCTTCACAACCCACACCTCCTTCCTCTGTTTGAACCACATAGCAAGAAAGTTGAAAGCCCTGATCATAAACAAGATCGAATATATATATATAAAAAAATGAGTAAATGAGGGCAGGAGTAATGGCGGAGCCAGAAATTTCATAAAGGGTGTCCAAAAATTGTATAGGTAAATAAAGAAAATTAACGAATGGGTGCTATAAAATTTTGTAAATCAAACTATGTAACATAAATAATTATTATTTTTAATTAAAAAATATACCAAAATTGTAAAAATCAAACTACATAATATTTAGCTTGGATGTTCATGTTTATTTAATAGGAAGTGAACGGACAAAAAGAAATTCAGTTTAGAATGAAATCACATTTATACCTGAAAATTTCACCAAGAAATCGAAAATAAAGATTAGAATCAAACGAGATTTTTTGAAAGAAATTTTATATGAAGTCTTTTTCACTTTTAATAGTTTTATAGTAAAAAGAAAAAAAAAATCTGATTAACTTTAAATTAAATAATTAATTTTAAATTTTATTTAAAAATTTAATGAAAAGAAAAAAATCATAAGTCAAATTGATTTACAATTTCATTGGCTACTAAACTTTTTTTTCCTTAAAATTTAAGTTGTAGGTCTTTAATTTAAGATTATTATAATAGATAATATTAGTTTTGCATTATTGAAAAATAGCTGATTTATTAATTAATAGCTCTTTTGAAAATAAAAATAAAATGTAGCTTTGGGGAATCAAACTTGCACGGATGCTGTTCGCCCCAGCTTTGGGTAAGGACCAGAATCCAATGGGCTAAGAACGTTTATTGTTTCAATGGTGTTCACAACGTCTTATTTTACCATTTAAAATATAATTTTACTTATATATACGATGTATTTTTTAGTGAAGTTTATTATAGCAAATTCATTTAATTTTTCTTGAGACATAGTATTCCAAATTGGTCAAACTTCTATTACTTAATTTTTGCCATTTTTAATAAAATTTTACATTTTCTATAAATAACACTCAATAATTTTGTAAAAAATATTTATAATCTATACGGAGACCTAAGGGCAAGTGCCATTTCTTTTAGCTGTAGAGGCCACCCCTGGTATTTGACCCTTTACCGTTTCAAATTAAATTGAAATGTGATTGTGATATAATATATAGTTAATAAAACTTTTATTTTTTTCATACCTCAAACGAGAGAGTTCCAACGCTAGTTGTGGATGATTGATCCTTTTCCATCAGTAAAACCATGGACGATGATCTTTGGGA